TTCATGCATTTTGGATATACTAGACGCACAAACATAACTTTGGTAAAATGATGGCATTTAAATGCAATCCACGATTAAGATCAACTGAAAAAAATTATTGGTATGTCAGAAATAGTGTTTATTTGACAACAATAACGACGACATAAACAATAAGTCAATAGTGAAAGCTCTGGTTTTGTTGATGATTATGAGTCATTATATCAATTGATTTTACTCGTTCAAAATGCTAAATAACTGTTACGACAGTATACAGTGTTCAATTATAGTTTTATATTTACAGTGTTTTAATAACCATTAAATAAGTCCCGTTTTACTGTTGTTGGAATTAATAATATCACCAATGGTAACAGCGGAGATTAAAGTGTGAACATATAATTAGTATCACATGGTTCAACAGCCATACGATTTTCATCCTTTGCAGATTTATTTCCGGTTTGTTTCAAATCTCCGATATTATAAAGCGTCAACAAATGAGTGGCAAAATTTAGGGATTGACTATTGGAGCGAACATCTAGCGGAAATTGTGCAATTTGAAGAAATAAATTTGCAGTGAATTATTTTACCCCCTTTTTTTGGAATTATATTGTTTTCAATGGGAGGGGTACAACAAATATTGTGTTGCCTGAAAGGAAGGAGCTGATTAAGGTACAAAAATAATTCGCGATCGTAAATACGCGTGCAAATTACTTTCGCGCCTTCAACTTTCTATAAAGGAATTACATTTGGTTGGCCGGGCGTGAATATATATAATTCATAATAAATCACGCATTCAACCAATGAAAAGAACGTTCTGAAATACATCTTGTCTTGATGTTAATTGGTTGAGCGAAACACGTGACTTTCAACATTAGCATAGTCAGCATTGTGTTGGAGTATATCTACTTGTGTTTGCCAAAGATGAAGCAACGTCTAGAGTGACGGTGGAATGAAACTGAGTTTAAATTACACACTAAAGGTAAGTTTTTTTTTATTAATTATGAGCTCTGTCACAATAGTTTATGACATTCGTTTTCCTCATATGCTGATTTACTGGTGAGAGCTTAAATGAGAAACTGTAACAGCTAGTCATTTCATGTGTTATCATTCAAATTAGTTCTCATTGAAATGTTATACTGGTTGTCACATGCGTGAAATTCGACATCAGTTTGGCTGACGTTTAATGTGATGTCGATTTATAATGTGTTATTGAATTATTTCTGCTTAGCTTAATACTAATATAGATTTATGATTTACAGAATATGTATAACTTGATATGGATTGCAAAACATATACCGATGATGATTTTAAATTGGGTAATCGTGTGTGTTGTCGTAACATCTGAAAAATGAAAGTTGCTTATTGGTGCTTATTGAGAGGGGACTTAAATGTTAGTGCCACCTCCCCTTCCGAGCTATAAAAGTATCATTTTCCCAGTACAATCAGGGACGCCCCAGTCTTCAATATAGAATAAAGAATTGAAGTTGCATTCCCTCATGTTCTATATCAAGCCATAAAATGTAACCACAAAAAATGTTTTATTTCGAACTTCAAATTTTATTTCGAATATCTTGAAGCCTGATCTAGTTTTATAGCAAACGTTACTTCGTGGAATTCCTAAAACTAAGTTGTTTTGATTCATAATGTTTACCTTCTGCCTGCAAGATTTCGAATAATTAGCTAAACGTCCGATTGTTCTTGTGTAATGTGTGTAATGTAATCTTCTAAGTCCCAACAGTATTCCGTTGACAACAAATGCATGATATTTCCTTCATATATATTCAAAATTTTTTGATATGGATGGTAAGTATGGCGAATTAAACTTTTTGATTTTCAGTCGTTTACGTGGACTTCTATTACAGGGAAATAATGGCTTGTCATGACTGAAAAGTTCCGAAAATTGTGTTTGATGAAGTGACTATGATTTAACTTATTTGTACTATAGCTTTCCAATTCGGCCAACCTAATGACTGCCGTGAATACTCGTAGCAAAATTGGTAGTCAGTTTGTCGCATATTCGGAGTTGTCGGTACTTTGATCTTATATATCACGGCATAATTAGGTTATGCCATGTAGTATGTCATGTATGACATTCTAGAACGGCCATTGACAAATTTAAGACTGTCATGGTGACGTGAGCGATTATATCTATGCAATCAGGAATTGTTTCTAATCGAAACGGACATGGAAGAAATATAAAACGGTGAAATACGAATGGATAAAGTGATAACCTAAGTTTATCTTCATTCAGAGTGCGTGTAAACGTATGTTTGATTCGAGTTGCCTAGTTTGCAAAACATACCACGCAGTATATTTTAAAAATTACACTGCCTTTATCTTCGATGAATATATGGCAGCGTGTATCTAGTGAACTGATTGTGATCAGCTTTGAATATTGTCATTCGTTGTCAATTTATATTTCTTTTAGTGATGATTGTTTCGATGAATGTTTTTTTTTTTTTTTTTTGTTAATGGTAAAAAATTAGTGGACCACCATTTATGTTTATTTATTTCACATCTATATCTACAGTTCCATATTTTTGTAAATTTGGGTAATCATTTGTTTAATCTGTGTTTAAGCTTTGTTGAAACTTATATTTCGAATTTCAAGCTATGGAAACCGGTTTAAATAACGCAATGGGAAGTAATCACGTTAAGTTACAACAATAGTAACTTCTGTCGAAACTGGAAGCAAACAAAATCTAAAAACTTCATGCCTTGACGCCTAAGATACACCATCCATTATATACACGTAATACGATACATTTCGCGAGTTCATTTTTAATTATTTAGAATCATTGCATTTTGTCTTCTCCGAAAGGATTAAATTATTTATTTAACAGTAACACTGGATTTCAGATGCCCAACATGAAACGTAATCGCGCCCATTTGACCTTTAATGTTTTGAATTGTTATAATATATATAGACTCGAGATTATTATTGTGTTCTGTTGTATATAAAAGGTTTCCGAAATAAATTTATTATACTTATTTTGCTTTTTAAAAAATATTAGACTAAGTATGCGCACGACACGAACAAATACATGCATCTTACAATTGCAATAGTTTCACATTGATGGTTGATGTAATATAATCTGTAAAGAATCAATTGTTAATAATAAAACGTGTAGCAGATAGTATTGCTTAAATTCAACCAGTAATTTTCGATATCAGACGAGTTCAAATCAATAAAAAATATGAACAGCTTTTTCAGAGTCATCAATAAAAAAGTATGCCTCGTCCAATTGTAAATATAGAAAATCTAACAAGACACTACATAGTAATATTCTCTGTAATAAAGCTCCGTTAAAATAAACAAGGAATCTGTGCAGCGTAATTATATTGAATGCTGGTTACCGGAAACAAAATTTAAATATTTTGCATTGATACCGAACACCAAATTAATACCTCCTCCAATTGAACAGGTTGTATAACGGTTTGTTATCGAATCTGTATTCAGTACTGCATTCATCAGTGTTCGTACAGTCAATTTTCAATACCAATCTTAAAAACTAATTTTTCGTCTAGCTTTTGCAGTAAGCTAACATGCCGATCTTATTGTATATGCTAACAACACCACCATCATTATATCAGTAATACCGGAAAACGTTTGCTCCCTGGAGAACAGGGACGTCATGACCGGATAGTATGTAATGTAATTTAAGGTGGTGAAACAAATAGGTCGCGTTGCTATGGGAATATTCATATTTCTAACTGATGACACATTTGTATGTACAGATCTTCAATTGGCCGTTATAGTAAGAACAAACATGAAACTCATTAGAAGACTCCGTGCCTAGGCAGCCATGGACTTTGTAGGGCAAACCATATACCAATGCATCTATATTATATTTTTTTTCATATATTTAATTTTAACAGTAATGAACTTTGACAAGGTCAATTAGATATACGTATATAACCTATAACCAAAATAACCATATATTTGTCATAATGACCCATGATGAGTAACAACTCTTAATCAGTAGTATCCTAGTCTCACCTCTGTGTAGTCGCTTTTATTCTTCTATGACGGAAACATGCCCTATTCTGGGCGAAATAGTCAATTGACATTGTTGTTCGGTTAATAATAAAACAAATTAGGGATGCATATATGTTAATCAGTATGGGTAACACATGAGCTGCAGTGTTGCATTCTTAAAATAAATGTCCTTTCATTTCCTGGTATTTCCATAGCAACATGTAACAAAGAAATAAAAGTTAACTAGTGTCTATGAATAATTTAATGAGGGAAGCTGTGGTACTTTGTCTAACAGTAATTTGAAACTATTTAGCCATTATCTTCTGACAGAACGGAATGCTGTTGACCACTGTTGCGATCAGTTGCCAAAACCGTCACCATAGTTTGGTCACATGCGTGATGACATCACATCCGAAACGGTCCCCAGAACTACTGCAAATGGAAATTCTCAAAGTGACGTCATAACTCGAATACTTTGATGACACGTGCGGGAATATAATTAGATACATGCCCATGTCATCACGTGTTGACCTAAATATTGTGCATTGTTGATACATATTTGAAGACGTAACGTAACATTATTTGACGAAATGTCAAAAAGTTAATTTCAATCTAAAAATGCATGAAAAGTGCATCTCATCTTTATGATAGTCAGTAACGGTAGAACTAGGTAAATTTCTTTCCACCCAGATGGGCCTGAATGGTTGCAGGAAATGAGTACTGTAAATACTTTATTTTCGCTTGAAATTAATTTTCGCTATTTTCGCTGAAAGAATGATTCAGTGAAAATAAAATCCGCCGAATGCACCTTTTTCCTATATTTTACATTCAACTCGTCAAAAATCAGTGAAAATATATTCCATACAAAACACCCAAAATGTTCTTCAGTGAAAATGAAGTTTTACAGTACATTGTATTGTTACATTATGTGTGCTTACAAATTGAAATATTTCAACTATAACAGTCATTTTCAATGTGTTAATATTATGTGAATAATATTTGTCATTATTCCAGGATTCCAACAAGATTCAACCCTCTATAAGTCATGGAGGCCAACCATACAGTGGAAACAACTGTGTCTTTGTCTGCTGTACAGTACAGATTAAACGTCATCTACGTTATAATTGGGTCAATAGGGTTGGTCGGCAACATGTTCGTATGTTTCGTATTCTGCCGCGTTCGACGACTGCGATCCATCACACATCTGTTTATAATGAACCAGTCCGTCATCGACATGTGTAGTTCTCTCGTATTCCTCGCTCTGAAGTTTAGACCACTCCGAATATCTGCGAAAGGCTTGGCTGCAGAATTGTACTGTAAGTTCTGGCATTCTGAATATCTCATGTGGTCGCTGTTTCTCACCTCCACTAGCAACATGTGTGCTGTAACTTTGGAACGGTACTTCGCTATATGCCACCCAGTTTTTCATCGAAACCACTTTAGCAAGACCAAAGCCAAGATCACCATCGTCATCGGGTGGGTTTGGGGGTTGCCAGTTGAGCTCCTTTGGGGGCTCCCTTTCTATCACACTCCTGATGGCTGTGCTATTAAATACATCGGCTTCTATTATAATGTTGTTTTTGGTATTGGTATATTCAGTATCGCTTGGCTTATACCTTTGATATTGATGGCTTTCTGCTACGTTAAAATTCTGTTGAAACTGCGCAATTCAAATGTTCAACCAACTGATGGTAATCCCGATGATAACAAAAACTTTACTCTACGACGAACCCAGAAGAACGTTGTGAAGATCCTTTTGATAGTTTCTATAACGTACGCTATTTGTTGGGGACCAAACGAAGTTGCACTTCTGCATTTCAACCTTGGCGGGTATCTAGATTTCACCAGTGATTTCTACTTGTTTTCTGTTGCGTTGGTCTTCTGTAACATGTGTGTAAATCCATTTATATATGCCTTTCAATACAAGGAGTTTCGTAAAAATATCCCAGTAGCATTTGGATGTCAATGGAAGACACCAACAGACACTGATTTGGATGGCGGTTTGGAGACGAGTGTGACGGGGGCAGAAGGGCGTCAATCAGTGTAGATCCTACAAAGAATAGTTATGTCAACTTGTTCTGCAGTCAAAGGTTAAAGTCAAAAATTGCATGTGTGATCTTGTACGTGTGTCATGGTTGTCGTTCAGCTATTGTGAAATTGACTGGCAAACATAATTAAGTGCAATATGACTTATATCAAAGTCAAGCAATTTACTAATTGATTATTATCAAATAATTTACTTATATTATTTGGCAATATTTGCGGAGTTGAGTTAGTGATGCGTGATATATATATTTTTGAGTACATCACAAAACATGTGTTGATTATCTATCACAAGATTGGTATACATATTGCTATAAAATACGTGAATACCAAAAATAATGACCATTGGAGGGACGGCAATGTATGAAAGATCCTTGGTTATTATAGAAAATTATATATGACGACTTTGACACTGAGGTGAAGTCTTTAAATTTCACTGTTACAGAAAGCAGAACCAACGTTCGCCTTCCCATCATGCATACTGGAATACATGTTCATGACAGTGTGTTTCATAATAAGATCAAAGATAGCCGACTGACAGCCATCTTGTTTTTTAAATGCGCTATCTTAAGACATTCATTGTCTTCTTTTGTTCAAATTTGGTACATGCATTATACATGTTGTGGTACATTTCTGTAAATATTTGTTTGGGATCAGAATCAAAATGGCCGACTGGCAGCTATATTGCCTTTTTGAAAATGTACCGTTTTCATGTTTTTCATGTTTATGCTAATTAGATTCACAATAGGATCACACTTCTATATCTCTTTCACCTATGTACCATTTTCATTGATATTAAATTAGTACATGTGTCGTAAAAAGATGTTTGATTTGATCAAAGATGGTCGACTGGCTTGTATAGCCACCTATGTAGGGCTAATCTGCACTGGCTCGGAAGGTTGTAAATGATTAGCTAGTTTGAATTTGCATAACAATACTGATAATGAACGTGCATTCAACGCCACAAGTTTTTTTTGTTTTTTTAGCCAATCAGAATTCATCTTCCGAGCCAGTGCAGATCAGCCGCGGTGTTGAATTCCAATATGGTGATTACCACGAACCTATGCGAATTGCGTCTAGTTTAAACGAGCTTCTCTGAAATTTAATTAATACAATAAATATAATATGAAAACAAATATTGAACACTAAATAAGTTTGCTAATTCTTTGGAAACATTTTGAAATACCTTTCGTAAACGACGGTGGACATTAATGTATGTTGTGTAATCTATACCTTAAGTATCTGGTAAAATAACTTGTGTCGTGGGCACGCTCATTCATGATTGAATTAAACTATCGGGAGTGTGTGAACAGGTGGCATATTCGCTGAAGAAGCAATAACAACTTGACCCGAATGACGTCTTTTTTGATTTTCTGAGGAAACAATAGAACCGAAAGTTACCTGAAGGTATGATGATATTGTTACTTCGTTACAAAGCGTGTAGAAAGTGTAATTGATAAAGCCAGCGTCGGCAGTTGTGTACTACATTGATATTTGCAGCGGCCTCCATTCATTTCTTTATGTGCGGGATAACTGATTGAACTCAAGTTCATGAATTTATTGATTCAAGTATCGCATTGCTTAAAGCAATAATGATAATTATTTGAACATTACTCACTGCATTTTGATAAATTATACTTTTCAGATTTTAAGAGAAACGATCGGAGCGGACAAGATGATACTGCTAATATTCGGAATTGATTTTGTCCTGTTAATATTGGTTATTTTTGGTTCAGTGCCCTCGTCTTCTTTGCGAGGAGAACTTTGGTTTAATAGGTAAGTATAGTTTCAAAACTATCCGTTTAAGGGGTGATTTTAAACATGATAAAAATAAGCAATCAACCCATTTGACGGGTAGAAAAGGAAAAGATGAATGAAATAGGATAGATGTAGTGCATATATTTAGAGTCGAGGATTGGATGTGAATGGGATCGCAATAGATGAAATTAATGATTTGTTATGTCCCACTATTTTTCCCCACGAATTTGATGTGCCCGGAGGAACTGCATCCGAGACAACAATACCACATGGGATGAGATTGGGCCTTTTCATTTATGTCAGTGAGAAAAAGGTTCAAAAAGATGTTATTGTTCATTTCAGTTAATTACTCATCTGTTTTGAAGTGTCAATGTTTACAAATATGGGGTATTGTATCTACAGTTTCACGAAAGGTTTGAATTTCAGTAAACACACTTATTCAGCTGCAAACGACACTTTTTCATGCGATTGATAATATCTTTTACAACAACTATACATGTCTGTTTTTTTTCAAATGTTACACTTGAACTTACCTCATTAATGAATATATTTAGGAATACATTCTTATTTGATTATGTGATTTGTTTATCGTTTGTTATGATTACTGTATAATAGTGCAAAGTGTCTTATCATGAAATGCATTATTTGATATATTTTGTTTTCAAAAATGATAATGTTAATGATTTTTTACCATGTTATCAGTGTAAATACATTTTAAAATGTGTCTCTGTTACGAGCACTTGTCAATATTCAGTTTGTGTTTTACTTTTCAAAGTGTTGCGATGATAAACACTTTTTCAATATATATTTCTGGTGGGAACTCAAAATATGTGTCTAGTGAAATCAATTTTCAAAGAGTTGTGATAGTAAACACTTCATTAAAACATGTCTTCGATTGAGACATTTTTCTACGTGTCGTAATTATAAAATGTGTGTCTAGTAAAAACTAATAAACACGTTTTATACATGTCCCTGGTGGAAACACTTTACAAATGTATGACCTGTAAAAACACTTTTATAAAAGTGTTGTGATAATAAGCACTTTTTATATATGTTTCTGGTCAAAACACATTATAAAGTGTGTGACTAATAAAACACTTTTAAAAGTTTTGTGACAATAAGCACCTTATATACATGTTTCTCTTGAAAACACTTTTAAAAACGTGTTTTTTAATCTTCCCACTTTACATAATGTGTTATGGGCAAAAACATCCCTGAAATGTTCCAATAAAAGTGTTTCCATAATATACACTTCTCGCAATTATGCAGATTATAAACACGTTAAGTGTTTTTAAAGTGGGGACAAGCTTATAAACACTTTAAATGTTTTCTCAAAAAACGGTAAAAATGTTTTATTTTGAAACCGCAGTGTTGTAAAATAACTTATTTGCGATTTTAAGAAAAACACTCAATGTGTTTAATTATAAATCACATCATGATTTTGAAGTGGGGACAAAAATGTGTCATATTTTAAAACACCTAGATTTACAGTGCAGCCAGCATAGAGACAGTCATCATCGTTTCTGAAGTACCACATTTACGACATTTACACGATATATAAACAGGATGCCATCTATAAACAAGAATGTTTCATGTAGCGCCTTCCCACTAGTTTACAATCAGGGACGATGCAGAGAAACCTCTGGGGACTGCTAGATACCTGTCTTGATTTGATTTGAATTTGTATTCTTCAATCTATAGTACAGAAAAATATCACCATAGAAAATCTACATTTCTGAAGCATTCAATAGCGATGCAAAACAACTTCTCTGGGTATTTTTTTTTAAATATTATCCAGTAAATTAACCCACACCATGTCCCGTTGGCAAGCACAAAGGGTTTGGTTTTTTTATTTTATTTTGTTTATTAAAGAAATAACCAGCGAATACAAATCATATGTTTATAACGTAATAACTTAGAAAGTCCTGACAGTCCGTGAAGTAATAGGCAACTATCACATCATTATTGAAGAGAAATTAGAGACAATGTCTCAATATGAATATAGTTGCGATGGCAATAAAATATTGGCACAGCAATGAAGTTATCAAAATACTAAAGCCCATATATCGTATATTTTGTAGATAACGACTGGTCTTAATATTCAATACGTTGTTTGGCTGATTTAATGAGCTTGAGATAAATACAATAAAACTGTTACAAAGATGATCGCAGATGTCATTGTCTGATCTACACACCAGGTTTCACACAGAAACTATATGATATATGCCATATCTGGAGCAGGATGTGTACATCTTTCGGAACACTTGACATCACTTTAAGTAGGCCATACATATCTTTTTAATACTGATTTTATGGTGTAGTGTGGTACAGTTGTCAGCAGTTTCGTTCTATCCTTCTGTGTTAATTCCATTTGTCTACTAACTTGTAGGTTTTCTGCAAGAAAACAGACACGTGTATATTCTATTGGTAATGAGCTAAATTGCGTTTAAACAAACATATTTTACGTATTTTGTATATATTGCTATGAAACCCATATCGAACACTAGGCAGTGTGCTGGCTGCTACCACAATTACATACTATATATAGGTATGTGTCCTCATTGTTGTACAGATGATGCCAGATTTTTTTACTTGAAAGATGTTGTGTGTTTTGTGTCACCATAATTTCATCATCATATTGTCCCTTGAATACGAACACCTAATTACACGTAGAACATTTTCACGGGATATTTGAAACTGAAATTGTCATCTATCTGTAAAGCCTTCGCTGATTGACTGCTGAGTTGGAATGAAAATTCGTCGAATATTATTTAGCAGTT